CCTGTAACCCTTCGGATTCTTATCAGCAGTGGTTCTTTACTTAAACAATATAGCGCAGACAAAACCGGTGGAACCAAGAAGTATCAGCCCGTCTCACTGAGACCTCGATTCCAGACTGCACTCAGGAAAACAGAAGCTAATACTCTCCTCTTATTTAAAAGACGTGAACATCTTCAACATGCTGCACTTCACAGTTGCCTTTCATTTTATTCTGTGCCTTTGAGATCAGATGGTGTAATACACGGAGATTTGTTTATCACTTTTTCTAAGAGACAAGCCAAGCTCCTTGTTTGCCGCCTATGGGAGTGTTGCACTGTAACTTACCCAAAGATAGAGAACACGGGGCCAACCACACCAATAATCGCATGGACTACCGCTTCCTGAGCCAGGAAATTTGGACCATGACCCCGCAGAATGGCAGGGATGAAACTGACACAGTACTTAGGATGCCAGCTGGCCTTTGAATATGCCTTATGCCAAAGAGACTATTCCATGCCCTTTCGTTTCCTGGTGGTCGTGCGTGCCAAGGCAGGTTGGGATGTGGTGAGGCGGCGTTGCAGCATCCCGTTCAAGAGCACAGATCCCTGCTTTCTGGCACGCACTGGGCATTTAACGAGGTTTTTTTCCTCTTACGGTTTAGGAGGCGATCGGAGTGTGCATTTAAAACCTGACACCGGGGTGCTCTGCTGTGTGAGATCCCGGCCTGCTGCACAGCATGACACCTCCGGAGTGCTTGCCAGCACGAGGAAGGAGGTAATGCCAGTGGCTGCCAATAAAAAGGACTTGCTATGCAGTCCCAAAGGAGAGAGGCGTTATCGTTTCCTTCCTCTTACGGTTTAGGAGGCGATCGGAGTGTGCATTTAAAACCTGACACCGGGGTGCTCTGCTGTGTGAGATCCCGGCCTGCTGCACAGCATGACACCTCCGGAGTGCTTGCCAGCACGAGGAAGGAGGTAATGCCAGTGGCTGCCAATAAAAAGGACTTGCTATGCAGTCCCAAAGGAGAGAGGCGTTATCGTTTCCTTGCCCCACAGTGGAAAGTGTCCAGCGGATGGTGCTGCTGAGCTTGGCAGGTGGGGGGGGGGGGTGCTCGCCAGTTGTTTACTACACAAGCCTGCAAGATCATAGCAGTGGTTGGAATGAAAATTGCGGAATCGCATGCAGGGTGTGGGGGGAGGGGCGGCTTTTCTAAAATCACTTTGGATCGGTGCATCCGAAACACTCCCGGGTTTTTCACGGCCCGAGCGCCATGAGGCGATACGAGCGTCTATCGCTGAGAGCGTGGGCTGGTCGCGGGAACGCTGCAAGGCCGTTTTTATGCTGGGCGGGCTGCTTCCGTTTCAGGCTTGGGGTTTCGGCACGTTCTAAAAACGTGCAGCCAGGGGGGCCTTCCCCACCCATGGACGGTGTAAACGAGGACGGGCGTAGCCCCCGGCGATGGTTTTGACAAGAGACAGCAATGCAAAGCAAGGCAGCTCCTAGTCTCCAGAATGGGAATGGGGGAGGAAGTTCTTTAATGACTGAAAACCCCCTGTTGCATCTTTACTCTCATTTTCCTCTGTGTGGGAGGATCTATTCATGCCCCCACATCCTCTGCCTCCCGTTTTCCACTGTGCCACTAGTGTCTCGACTATTGTAGCATCGTGGGAAAACATGGCCTCATCGCCGAGTCAATACAAACCCATGTTTGAGACGTGACTACTGTCGTTTGTTAGTTTCGAACTGATTCCAGCTCGTGGTCATTGAAAACCGGGCCTGGAAAAGGCAGGGGCGCTGCCTTTGGACACGTGACCCAGAGCTAAAATAAAGAGCTGTGCTGTTTGACACAAGAAATCCAGGCTCCGGGTCCCCTTTGCTCCCATGTTCCTATTGGTCGCGACAGGCTCCAGCGGGACCAAGCCTGGCTCCAAGTTGGCACAATGTTCAGTTAATGACTGTCCATGTTCCGGTTGTGCCTGAGAACCTGCCAAGATGGGGGCCCCGTTGGGCCAGGAACTATACACATTACAGGGTGGACCTTCCTGCGCCAGCACCCTTGCAACCTGACTGGTCCCAGACCAGGGACTGCTGTTCTAGTTGAATCAGCACTTGGGGAGGGTTCTGTGTTCTCCCCTCTTTCTCCCCCCAGCAACCTCCCTATTACCCACCAGGACTCCATCTTGCCTCCCTAGTTTGGCAATGTCCCTGGTCCCATTCCCTCGGCTTATTCTGTGAGTGCTCTCGGGATCACCTGAAACTGCCGGACCAGGAGTGTTGTTGGCTCAGGGAAGTCTGGGTTGAATCAGCACTTGGGGAGGGTTCTGTGTTCTCCCCTCTTTCTCCCCCCAGCAACCTCCCTATTACCCACCAGGACTCCATCTTGCCTCCCTAGTTTGGCAATGTCCCTGGTCCCATTCCCTCGGCTTATTCTGTGAGTGCTCTCGGGATCACCTGAAACTGCCGGACCAGGAGTGTTGTTGGCTCAGGGAAGTCTGGATTATGGAGTTTCAACCTGTACGAGACAGTCCCTGCCCTCGGAGAACTGAGTCTAACTAGAAAAGGCCGGCCAGGAGAGGGAGCAAGGGCATAGAACATGCTGGCAGAGTGAGTCACGCCATGGGAGTAAATATCACCATTGGTTTAATTGCTTTTGGGGCGGGGTTGGCTTTAATGGGACTTGCTCAGCAATTAGACACGTTACCAAAAGAGGTGGAGCAAATTCCCAAATCCTGCAGGCCATAGCCACCCGAAAAGACAGGCCTGTCATTGAGGTGTGAGCTCCTATCTCCCATTTCCCATCGTCGTCCGTTCCTGGATCCCCGAGGCAAGCTGCGATAGTTTCTAGATGGGACAGATTCTGCAGGCGTTCACTCTGGTGCACGTAGATGGTGTGAGAGAGACTTTTTTGTGGGAGGCAGGTGCCATCCCATTCAGACTCAGCAAGGCTTGGATTTGGGGGGTGGGGAAGTGGGTGCCTTTGGAGTACCCGGATAAGTCGGAAGGATCTTTTTCCAATCTGGAATTTCCCCTCCGATGCATCCCAGATCTGTCTCGTCCCTGCCTTGGATTCAAATTACGTCCTACCCACGCAACAGAAGGGTGCTGGAAACATTACTCAAGCCTGAGTTTGTCTCGTCAGTTTCCGATTCTGATTAATCACACTGATGTCAGATATTTATGGCCCCTTTCTCCTAATTAGCACTGCCTATTATAGAATCGTGGGGCTGGGAGAGACCTCAGGAGTCACTGAGTCCTGCCCGAAGCAGGACCAACTCCATCATCCCAGCCAGGACTTTGTCAAGCCGGGATTTCAAAACCTCACAGGCTATGTCTACACGGCACGCTAAGATATGCAAATGAGACACGGGGATGAATATTGCCATGCCTCATTTGCATGCCTAATGAGCTACCATTTTTGCAGCACGGGCTTTTGCGCAAGAAGCTGTCTGCAGCGCTCCTTCTTGTGCAAAAAACCCTCTTGTGCGGAGTCGTTCTTCCTGAAAATAAGCAGTGGAATGGCTCTGCACAAGAGGGGTTTTTTGCACAAGGGGGGGCAAATCAGTGCTCCCAGGGGGCTGGCTTTTTTACATGAGGGGGATGGGAATCAGTGATGGTTGGGGTGTGAGAGAGGGCTCAGGATGGGGGGGGAGGTTCCATCTGACACAGGCCTTTTCTCTTCCTCCAGCTGCCAGGGACTTTTTCTCTCCCCTCAGTCCTCTCTTCCCCCCCCCCCTCGGAACTTTAGCCACTCCCTTGGTGGGGTGGCTGTCCCCAGTGGACACTCACCTATCGCCCCTCTGAACAGCAGCCCCTCCCTTTGCATATTATGGAAACCAGTCCCACTCTCAGCACTCCCAGTTGTCCTGGTACAACCAAACCCTGACCTTGCTTTAAGGTAGGAAAAGAGGAAACTGCATAGCAAATTTGGTGGTTCTAGCTCTTACCATTTCGGAGGAATTCATGAACAAACAGACTTGTAGACAGACATGCACAAATTCAAAAAGATAGATAGCCATTCCCTTTGCTGCATGGAAGTCAGTTATGCATATTAGGCACCACTTAAACGGGAATAACTGTCCGTACTGTGGGATTGGTGGTGCTTATCTATATTCCTATAGTTAAAGCAGTTTGCTCTGGGTATCTAAAACACGGGAACAAGCCCTGGGTTATGTCTGCCTTTGACCTGCTGGGCAAGTGCCTCTGCCTCAGTTTCCCCATCTGTAATAACACCACTGAGCATGTTTGTAAAGTGCTTCAGGGTCTTCCGATGGGAAGAGTGAGGCATTAATTACAATTGTAGACGTGCCCACGACGGACACGGGCGGACGCTCATGAGTCGTTACCCGAGACACGTATGCTACCCCAGACTCTCAGCCCAGGCCGGGAGCTAACCACGAGGAAAGCGCGCTCCCATCCCTGTGCAGAACTAGCTCCAATGGGCACGGCCCTGAAGAACCATTTTGCATCTAAATTCTCTTCCCTCGCACGCTCAGGAGCGGGGCTGGGGCCCCCTATCTGGTGGGCTGCCTCAGAACTCACGTGGTGATCCAATTCTAGCGGGTTTCCCAGTGGCCGCCAGGGCGGGTGCTTATCACACCGGCTCCCCAAACGCAAAGGAAGCTGGAAGCATTAAGGCTGGAGATAAACAGGTATCCATAGGAAACACGTCCCGTAGCCATCCGGTCACGATCTGTTTGTAACTCACGTCACCGAGGCAAACCAGATGCCGAGGTCCCCTGCTCAACAAATATAACTTTCACAAGACCGGTCGGAACGCACGTATACTTCTAACTGTGGTGTCCTACACGCTGACCACTAGCACATGGGGCTCTATGGCCGGGTGAGTGTGGCTAGTTGGTTATAGCAGGAGTCCCTGTAGTGGCTGCTGCTTCAGAACTGGTTGGACACCGCGGCTTTATAATACAGACAGGCTCTGAGTTCGGAGTCACATCGCTGGGCCAACGCTTTGTCCGTGTTAAAGGTGCAGACTCGGTTGCACCACCAGTTAAGACTTGTAGGTCCACTCCACGCTGAAAACTTCAACCATGTTCATAGAATCATAGAACACTACGACTGGAAGGGACCTCGAGAGGTCATCGAGTCCAGCCCCCTGCCCTCATGGCAGGACCCAATACTGTCTAGACCATCCCTGATAGACATTTATCTACCCTACTCTTAAATATCTCCAGAGATGGAGATTCCGCAACCTCCCTGGGCAATTTATTCCAGTGTTTAACCACCCGGACAGGTAGGAACTTTTTCCTAACGTCCAACCTCCAGGGTCTGTTTTGATGGTAGAAAGTGCAGACCAGGTATTTGGGGGGGTGCCGGAGCTGTGGAGAGCTGGTGGAGGAGAGCAAAGCACAGAATACACATCTTGAACCTTGAGAGCTCGGGGTGAGAGTATACGGAATAAGGGACAAATAATTGCCCCTTGTAGATTTCCTCAATGGCTCTTTTGCTTGATCTTGTGTATGTCTCTCTGATTCTCCCACGCCTTGAAGATTACGCAAGGTAAGTAAGATGCGGCTTAGGGCCTCCGAGTAAGAACATGTAAGAACAGCCGTGCTGGGTCAGACCAAAGGTCCATCTAGCCCAGTAGCCTGTCTGCCGACAATGGCCAGCATCAGGTGCCCCAGAGAGGGTGGCCCGAAGACAATGATCAAGCAATTTGTCTCCTGCCATCCCTGTCCAGCCTCTGACAAACAGAGGCCAGGGACACCATTTTATCCCCTGGCTAATAGCCTTTTATGGACCTAACCTCCATGAAATTATCTAGCTTCTCTTTAAACTCTGTTCTAGTCCTAGCCTTCACAGCCTCCTCTGGCAAGGAGTTCCACAGGTTGACTACGCGCTGTGTGAAGAAGAACTTTCTTTTATGAGTTTTAAACCTGCTACCCATTAACTTCATTTGGCGTCCTCTAGTTCTTCTATTATGGGAACTAATAAATAACTTCTCTTTATCCGCCCTCTCCACACCACTCATGATTTTATAGACCTCTATCATATCCCACCCTCAGTCTCCTCTTTTCTAAACTGAAAAGTCCCAGTCGTTTTAACCTCTCGTCATATGGGACCCGTTCCAAACCCCGAATCATTTTAGTATAAGAGGCCTCTGAAAACAAAACCAAAAAATGTACTAAATTTCATTTTTCGGTAAAGCTCTGAAGCCTCTTAAACTTGACAGATCTTAGGGCCTCCGCGTTGCTTTATCCAGCCGTGTGCCTCCCCGTACGTTTTTTTTTTCCCCGAAGTATCTTAAGGGAGGAAAAGCGCCCATTTGAAATTGAGTCTCCTACGTTCCACAGGTGTGTCCTGAGCACGGGGCTCCTGGCTAATCCAGGAAAAGACCCACATGTTGGTGTCTATGAACTGTTTGAGAAGGTCTTGTTGCTGATTGTTCTGAAACCGAGCAAAACTCAGATTCCAAAACCTCAAATTTTCCCCCCAAAATGGAGTTCTCCCGAGTATCCACAACTCCTGCCAAGTTCAAGAGGTGCAGAAAAAAAAACTTAGCCCTTTTTATATTGGGATAATCCCTGATTAGCTCCCCCAGTGTTAATCCCAATTTGCAATTGTTTTAAGCGTAAGCACAGATGCAGCTAACGTACAACTTCACTCTTCCTCAGTGAGCTGAGAGTGTGGGCAGCCATCCAGGAGAGATTCAAATGTCACCCAGCTAATTAGCAGAGCACCCACACAGTAGCAGCATGTGTTTCTACAAGTGGTGCACATCTGCACCTGCCTCAGTGCGCCTAACAAAATTTATTCTGCACATGGATGGAAAAAGTCAGAGGGAACACTGGTTGTTCCTTATTAAGTAATTCCTAAATTTTTCAATTATGATTGTGCAGAAATGTCTTTGCTTCATAGCAGCCATTAGCAATTGTGATGTTTCATTTCAGAAAAGTACAGAAACTGCTGACTTTAAAGAAGACATGTTTGCTTTACATTATCTTTTGATCACATGTAAGTGGCTACGGTTTAGATGCGATCTGTTCACACGTTCTTCAACGTAAGCACACTGTATAGGGAGTGCCTAAAATTGAAAGTGAGCTTGCTACATGTTGATACAACGTGGCCCAAGAACTTTCAAGGCAAGTTTGGATCAAGTTTTTCACCGTGCAGACCACAACCCCAAGTGTGGTCATTCAGGGGCACCCACTCTCCTTCCCTTGATATTCCACATTCCCCGTTTCTCAGAGCATGTTCGGGTTTGTAAAATGACCTTTTTTTTTTAACTCTGCAGAGAGTTTATCAGCATCTGGGGCCCTCGGTGCCAGAATTCAGCCTTGACCTTCATTGGATCAAGTTTTTCACCGTGCAGACCACAACCCCAAGTGTGGTCATTCAGGGGCACCCACTCTCCTTCCCTTGATATTCCACATTCCCCGTTTCTCAGATCATGTTCAGGTTTGTAAAATGACCTTTTTTTTAACTCTACAGAAAGTTTATCAGCATCTGGGGCCCTTGGTGCCAGAATTCAGCCTTGACCTTCGCTGGACCCAAGAATGAAATATGTGTTTTCTTAGAACAAGGAGCCAAGACTGATTTCCACTCGATATTCCAAATCACCTGCATTTCTTCCCATCCTCTCCTCCCAACGGGCAGCTCTATTTAAGCCCAGCCGTGATACGAGAGAAGACCCAGAAGCAGAAAGCAGGAGAAGTCACAGTGTTTGTACCTCCTGTTCGCTCGCGATGTTGAAGTTACTCCTCCTAGCGGCCTTTGTCTTCTGCGGTAAGTGGGCTTTTTTCTGTGGTTGGTTTGGGGGTTTTCGGGGGGGCAGGTTTGAGGTGCTGATGTCTTGCATTCTGGTGCTGAAACTCTTGCTCATGGATTCAGACATTGCGGTAGCACCCCAAAGAGCTGATTGGCTGGGGTGCACCCCAAACAGCCATCAGTAGGGGCAAATCCCCCAAAGTTTCAGCTAGCACAGAAGGCTACAGGGAGATGCACTTTGCTGCGGCTGATCTTACCCACATCAGAAACATCCTCCTAAAAGAGACTCTCTGTCCACTTGGCCTCCACGTGCCGGTCTCTTCCCTAGTCCCTCTTGGGCCTCCCCATTTTCAGAGTTGATCTGCCTTGACGGTTCCTCATGGGGGCACTTCCAATTTTCCACAGACCCCCCCACACACACACACACACCGTGTGTCCTGCTCTCCCGGAAAACTGAGCCCGACTTCGGGTGCTGAATCAGGTGGAAATTCTTGCCCCTTCCTTTGTGAAGGCTGGGACGCTTGGTCATGTCCCGTCTCCAGCGCGATCTCGGGAGAGCTGGGGCAGAGAGCCGTCCGCGAGAAGGGGAGGGAAAAGCCAGGCTAGCCTCATGCCCTGGGGTGGCAACCGCAGAGCGGCAATGGGGTGTGGGGTCCCTCCGGCCACACGCCAAAGCTAGTCCTGATGTTGCTTTTCTTTTACTCCCGAAGGACACGGCCTGGAGGAAGAGTCGCTGGAAGGCAATGGGCGCGTGGTGGGGGGGAGTAACGCCCCACGCGGCGCATGGCCATCGCAGGTGGGTCCAATGTCTACAGCCCTTCCCCACCCCGTTGGCCTCCCAACAACAACCGAGGAAGGGGCGCGGGGATGGGCTGGTGCACAGAAAACCAGAGAGCGCAAAGGAGCCGCTCCCACAGGGCAATTATCAAGGGATCCCTCTGCTATCGTGCAGTGCTCGCATCTGATAGTGAGAGACAAGGGACAGCCAGAGCACAGGGCTGTGTCCGTGGCCATCTTGACTAATATCCTCCATCACCCCATTTTCTTAAAATCCAGTTTATAGAAGGAAGCACTTCTTCAGTGCACAGTCAACCTGTGGAACTCCTCGCCGGAGGATGTGGTGAAGGCCAGGACTTTACCAGGGTTTTAAAAAGAGCTAGATAGATTCATGAAGGTTAGGCCCCTCAATGGCTGTTAGCCAGGATGGGTAGGAATGGTGTCCCTAGCCTCTGTTTATCTGGAAATGGAGGGATCACGTGAGAATTACTTGTTGAGTTCCCTCCCTCTGGGGTACCTGGCATAGCCATTCTTGGCAGACAGGACACTGGGCTAGATGAACTGTTGGTCTGACCCAGTATGGCTGTTCTTATGTAGTTTTGGGCCTTCACCACATCCCCTGGCAAGGAGTTCCACAGGTTAACTGTGTACTGAAGACATGCTTCCTTTTGTTTGGTTTTAAGCCTGCTGCCTGTTCATTACCTTGAGTGACACCTCCCACCCCCAAGCTCTCATGTTACGTGAAGGGGCCAATAACACTTTCTCCACATCATTCGTGGTTTTATAGACCCCGTCCTATCACCCCTTCATCGTCTCTTGTCTGAGATGAACAGTCCGTCTTTTATACACTCCTCAAGCTGGTCTGTACCCCAGTCCCTGGACCTTTTCCATTTCAAATGCATCTTTATGTGAGATGGAGCAACCAGAACTGGACATGGTGTTCCAGGCAGGCCCGCTGACGGGGCTGGGTGGGTAAAGGAAACTGATTGCTGCTCCTGGCCCCGCCCCTTCCACCTGAGGCCCCGCCCCTTCCAGGAGCATATACCTGGGACCCCTCCACCTTGCCCAGCGGCCCCACATGGCTGTGGGTTTCCCAGATTCGCGGTGTGGGCGTACCATGCAGGCATACAGCGGCATTCTGATGTTTACTGTGTTACATAGTTAGATCTCCCTTTTGTCACCCAAATCTAGATCTCCCTGCAGTACCTCTCCGGGGGTCAGTGGCGTCACACCTGCGGGGGGACGCTGGTGAGGCCCAACTGGGTGATGACGGCGGCTCACTGCGTGGACAGGTAACGGAGACCCCGGTGGTTCGTTGATCGGCCTGTTCCAGAGACTTGAATCGGGTGCGAGGCAGGAGTGGGCACTGTCAATACACCCAGCTGGGAGGAGAGCTTGGTGCCAAGAAGTGGAGGGGGCTGCTTCTTCTTTTACCCCTGGAGCAGTATGGCCATTTCTATTGCGGGGTGGCGGGAGGATGGACCAGTGGTTTGGGCAGTAGCCTAGCACTTGGTAGGCCAGGCTTTGAGTCCCTGCTCTGCCACCGCTTTTTGGTGAGCCATTGGTCAAGTCACTTAACCTTGCTCTGTTCTGTTCATCTGGAAAATGGGCTTCTCTACCTTCCCGCAGTGTTGCACGCACAAGTCCGTGCAAGACTGTGGCATTAAGAGAGAGCGATAGATGAGTTAGTTACTAACATCTAGGGTCAACCACTTTCACCTTGGACTTAGCAAACCCAGGACCGGTTGACAAGCCAGTGACGTCATATCACTGTCGGGAATTGGGGGGAAGGGAAAGGGGCTTTGACGCTACATTGGCACCTTCCTGCACATCACAGCTTGTTCCTCATCTCCCTAGATCCCTGACTTTCCGGGTGGTGGTCGGCGAGCACAACCTCAATCAAAACGACGGCTCTGAGCAGTATTTGAGCGTGGGAAGTAAATTCATCCACCACTATTGGAACAGCAACAATTTGGCTGCCGGGTAAGATGCTTCCTGTATCCCACCGGCCGCCGACCGGGCTTTGACTAGGGGATTTCTCGTCTCAGGCGACCCAGGGGAAGAAATAAGAACAGGTTGCCCCTGGAGTCCCTACATCTGAGATCCACACACCTCCCAAGGGGGCACCCGAGGTCAGCTGTTCGGTTCACTCGCTCTGGAGCACCTGGCATTGGCCACCATTGGAAGAGGGGATACTGGGCTAGATGGACCTCGGTTGGATCCAATATGGCCATTTTTATTGTCTTAATACCTGAGCGCTATGAGTTTGGTGCCCAACTCCCATTGGCTTTGTATTCACGGGGGCTCCTTTGAACACCCCAGCCTTGATTTCCCGGGAAGAGCGCGCTCAGCGGCCTCGGGCCGACGCACTCGGTTCTCCCCCGCTTCCAAAATGCCCCGAAAGCCCTCTTGACCCTGCTTCCTTTGTTGCTCCGCAGCTACGACATCGCCCTGCTCCGCCTCTCCCAGAGCGCAACTCTGAACAGCTACGTGCAGCTGGGCGTGCTGCCCGGCGCCAACGAAGTTCTGGCCAACAATCATCCCTGTTACATCACCGGCTGGGGCTTGACCAGAAGTAAGTGCCGTCGTTGAGTAAGGTCCTAGCGGGCGCATGGGGTGGCCTAGTGACAGAGGGCATGGGCTTGGCGGTAGATGTGACAAGCTCCCCTGCTTTGCCCTGTGCCTCAGTTTCCCCCTGTATAACACAGTGAGGATAACTCGGAGTTGCTGGGACCCAAGCCTTTGTTCCTGGCTGGCACAGCCCTTCCCGCAGAAGGTCCCACAGAAGCACCAAAATCTCCCTTATTACACAAGAGCGATGTGAGATTCGGGCCCTGCCGGGAGTTGTGCCGTCGTGTAACACGAGGATTTCACCCCAGTCTGTAGTCTGGGGTAGGGAAGTGAAGGGCTAGTCGACTATCCAATGAACAAATGCTTATCGGATCGCTGACTAGTCAATCCCCCCAACCCTTTGCTGCCTCTATCAGAAAGAGCCTGACTCCAGGCTACCGTGATAGCGTAGCAGCACCGCAGGGGGCCTGGGGTCAGCGGGGAATCCTCAGCTGATCCGGGCTCCAGGTGGTACTTCCACCTTTCAAGTGTAGCAACAGCCCTAGTTTCTGCTGCCCTTTGGAAACCTGCTTCCTGATTCCAACCATCCATGGGAACACCTCAAGGAAACGGGGGTTCTCCTGCACTCCCGCTTTGCTCTGGTGCCCAGCTCCGGAAGATCCTGCTTTTCCAGAAAATGCACCAGACCAAAGCAAAATTAAGAACGGTCGTGGCCTTGCTCCACTCTCGTTTAACGTTTTATTGAAGTGGCGCGTAATTTACACCCATCAAAATGAGCTTCAGTCAGGCCCAGGAAATGACCAATTATCTGGGGAAACTGACACGTCTCCGTAACAATCCAGGCTGACTCCAAACTCCGGCTTCAGAGCGTATTGAAAGCAAATTCCCAGCCAAGTTTTCCAGCCGTCACTCCGTCCCGGGGCGGGATTAGTGCAGCAAAGCTCATTCCTGGGGTGGGAAGTCGGCCAATCAATCGGAAAATAGAACAGGCGTCTAGTTGCCGAAGTTGGATGCATTGGAAGTTCCGCCGAGGACTTCGCCCCAGAGGTCGGGGGAAAAGGGGCTTCAATCGGAAAATAGAACAGGCGTCTAGGTGCCGAAGTTGGATGCATCGGAAGTTCCGCCGAGGACTTTGCCCCAGAGGTCGGGGGAAAAGGGGCCGTTTTCCATGGAAACTAACCCCCGGCCTCCGTTGTGTTTCTTGCACAGCTAACGGGCAGCTGTCTGCAATCCTGCAACAAGCCCCGCTTCCCGTGGTGTCTTACAGCATCTGCTCCGGGGCTGCCTACTGGGGTTCCACCGTCAAGAACACCATGGTGTGCGCCGGAGGCGACGGTGTCCATTCTGGGTGCCAGGTAACCGCCGGGGGCCTGTGGCGTGGCCGGAAGTCACCGGCGTGGGGTCCTGCTCCGTCAAGGAGGTTCACCATCGGGCTGCGTGTGCGTGCGCTCCTCTTGTGGGGTGTGTTGACACAGCAGACTCCGAGAGCCTCCAAGGACCACAAAATCGGATAAGAATCAAAGGTGCCCGGCAACTTTATTGTCAAACGAACTACAGGCCTAGTTGTCAGCAGACTCTGCCAAACCACTATGCATGTGTACCCCCTAACCTGGACCAGCTCAGTCACTGGGAAGTCCCACTGCCCCAGGCCAGACAAAGCCAGCCCCTCCAAGACCCCACTTTATACACATCTACAAACGAGTTACACCTCCCTGCTGACACGTCACGTTGCCACCCTCGGACGTTCCCTAGATACCAGCTGTCACCGGGCACCTGGTGGTTCAGTTAGAACCTCTCTCTCCGTCCTGCTGTTGTGTTAGACCTGGGTCGGTGTGTCCCTGTTGTCTGTGGGGAGTGGGTGGGTACCAAGGCGACTTTTAACGAGGTGTTGCCGTCCTTCTGGAATGTGCTTTTAACCTTAGGCCCAATGTCAATGAGTGTTTCACAGCCGGTGCCCAGTACCGGTGAGTGTTTCACAGCCGGTGCCCAGTACCGGTGAGTGTTTTACATCAGTGAGTTTCTACCTTTTTTTATTTGCAAATCCCTCAAAACAATGTTTTGAATGTCAGAGCGAGCCCTTTTGGAAATCCTAGACAAAGGCTGCCGACCCAGGTTGAAAACCACCGTTCTGTGGTAACGATAAGGAACTGCTTTGACATAGTCCATGGACTCCACCCCCCCCTCCCCCCAGGGGTCCCCAGATCACAGGTGGAAAGCCACTGAATTTTACCCTGCCGACCTGCGCGTGCCACGTTCTGTGGGCAGCGGCCCTGCCTCTCTCTCACAGCTTAGCCTTGCTTCACATGGACGCAGGCCTGACCACAGCGTGCCAGGCCTCAGGCCTCACGCATGATGTGAGGGCTCAGGTTTCAGGCCTCCATCTGACCGCAGCTGCACCACACCAGCCCTTCCAGGGCCTGAGCCGTTCTTGTCCACCCACTTGCAGGGAGCTGCGCTCTCGGGGTTACACTGGGGTATTGCGGGGTGGTGGGTCGAGGCTGGCGATCGTCCTCACAAGGCCTGCGGGGCTTCGCCGCCCTTCCAGGTGGCAAGGGCTGGAAAAAAGGACTCTCCAGCAGACCCCTCTCTGCTCTGCTGACTCCCAGCCCCACGGTTGGGCTTGGAAAGCCGGCCGGCCCTTGGGGCTCTGCCGGCAGGTGAATCCAGTTCCTAGATGGTGTGGGAGGAGGAGGCGTTGTACAGACTTCACTTGGGTCAGACTGAGGTCCATCTAGCCCAGCGTCCCCTCTCCCAGCTGTGACCAATGCCAGGTGCTTCGGAGAAAATGAACAGAACAGGCAACCGGATCATCCATCCCCTGTCGTCTGCCCCCAGATGCAGGCAGGCCGAGGCGAAGATCCCCCAGAGCTTGTGCCATTCGTGAACTTACCTAGTTCGTTTTTTGTTACGGACCCCAGAATAGTTTTGGCCTTCGCAACATCCCCTGGCAGTGAGTTCCACAGATCAGGCTGCCTGTATTCTAAATGCCGGTTTGTCTGGCCAGACGCCTCCCCGTGGAGATTGTCTGCTTCGCTGGGGAGGGGACGCCCCCTCGGTTGGAAATCACCTCTTTGTGGCCATGGGGGCTAAGTTGTCTTGCCCTTTGGATCTGGTCCACAGGGTGATTCTGGGGGCCCCCTGAACTGCCTGGTGGGCGGCAGATACCAAGTCCACGGAGTGACCAGTTTTGTGTCCGCCTCGGGCTGCAACGTCTACCGGAAGCCCACGGTGTTCACCCGGGTGTCTGCCTACATTTCCTGGATCAACAACGTGAGTTGGCTTTGCCTGGCAGGGGCGCTGCAATGAGGAACCACCCCGCCACAGACCAGGGCTCTGGCTTGCGATTCTTTCTGTTCTCATTCATGGGCAGCAGGGGAAGCTAGGGGAGGGGCAAGCCCCTAGCCCCGCCCCCTCTGCTTGAGGCCCCGCCCCTGCAGCCCACGGCCCCGTGGGAGCCAAGAACCCTGGCTGAAGCACAAAGGAGAGGGAGGAAGAGAGCCTACCCCCCACTCCCAAGAGTTGGCAGCACAGCCCCTCAGCAGGGCTGAACCCCAGACAGCTTGGGGGAGATGCACGGGAGGGGGTCGGGGCTGGGAACAGAGCGTGTGTGAGACAGGCGGTCGGCCCACGGGACCTCAGCGTCCTTGTGGCCTGGAAGCTCTAGGCGAGACGGCTCGTTGCAGAGAGCGTGACGCTCCTGGCCGCTGTTCCACGTGGCCTGTGCCAAATCCCAGGGCTGCACGTCAGGATGTACCTGCTGGGACCTTTGGCCGGGAGCTGACGTTTTCCAATTGGCCACCTGGAGCCTTCCCAGCCTAGAGATGTAACTGCGCTCCTGCCTCCGACGGGGGCCACGCGTGGGAAGCAGCCTGACGTGGTGGGTTGTGTGTTTTTCTCCTTTCAGATAATCAACTCCAACTGAAGAGGCTCGGAGGGGGGGAGAGACAACAAAGAAAAACCCCTTTCACTAATCGGAATATGCTCCCACCCGCCCCACCCCCGCCTTTGTCTTCTCTGGGGCCCATCTCCTCTGTTATCCCATTTGGTCAGCAGGGTTATTCCTGCAATTCCAATGCCAATAAAACCACGTCAAAAGGACTCTCTTCCTGCAATTCCAATGCCAATAAAACCATGTCAAAAGGACTCTCTTTGTTCAATAGCAAAGAAACCACATAAACAAAGCTTCTTTCTTCTCCGCGCGCCTGGGAAGGGTCTCTTGGCCATGCACGGTGGAACATGCTCATGTGGTGTGTTGGTTTGCGTGGTCACAGAGATGCCTCCTTTGAATGTCCCAGGCACCCTTGAGCTGTTCCGTTTGGAGCATGAATTACATTCAACTGGATAATCAGACGTCCCTTTGCCTTGTGACTTACAAGGGCTTTCCCGCACCATGGAAATCCACCAGTTCATCTGTCTCAGCTGCTTCTGACTCCAGGAACCAAAGTGTTGAATTCTCTCCAGTCTCCGGGAATAGCCTGTTAGGAGAAGGGCAAGAACTGGGCTCCATGAATTGGACACATGCCGTTTTGACCATTCACAACCTGGGAGAAAGAGGATGAATGATGAAGGCAGATTTCATTTTCTTCCTCTCGTCCCACCTGCAGCCTGCGCCCAGCCGTGACGGTTCTTACTCGCCTCCCGAGGTTCAAACTCCTGCTCTGGTTCAGCTTCCTTTTCCAAATGGCCACCCAAAATCAATTTCCCATCCAACTCCCCTGGTGAGGCCTTACTGCTATTGGGACTGCCAAGAAACACCCCCAGGCTTTGAGATGGAAAAATCCACCTTACGGGAAGAGTTGCAAAGGGCTAGCCCACTTCCTGCCCGGAGTAAAAGCTGAGAAGGAGCTAGGCAACTCCCAAGATTTCTTCCCACCCTCCATTAGCATAATAGACAGAGTCCCAGCTAGGGAACCCTCCCTGTCTAACTCCCTTCAGTATCAGCCAGACGCGGGTGCCATTCGCTTGCAATGTGGAATCCAGTTGGACTTCACAACGGAAGCTGTAGTAGTTGGATAAAGTCAGGATGGGGCCCCGCGGGGCTCAGCTCCCATCCATCTTGACGAATGACGCGTGGGTTAGAACGCCCGAGGCCTGGCTTTGTCACTGGACTGCTTGGGCCCGGCCGTTTCTCTCTCTGTGATGCTGCACCCCACTGTGTGGCAGGGATGTTGAAACAAGGGGGGTTCGAGGGATCATGGGCCATCGCTTTTCACTAGTTGTAAGGGTGAGCGCTGTGTGCAGCTAGGGTCGCCTCCTCTCCAAAAAGATCTCTTGGCATTGGAAAAGGTTCCGAGAAAGGCAACAAAAATGAAACGGGTGCCATGTGAAGCGAGATTCAAATGACTAGGACTTTCCAGTGTAGAAAAAAGAGATTAAAAGGGGATAGGATCGAGGGCTATAAAATCATGACACGTGTGGAGAAAATGAATAAGGAAAAGTTATTGACTTGTTCCCATCCCACAAGAACTAGGGGTCACCCAATGAAATGAATCGCTAGCAGGAAAGGAACCAAAGGAAGTTTTTGTTCACACAGCGCACCATCAACCTGTGGAACTCCTTGCCGGAGGATGTGGTGAAGACCAGGACTTTAACAAGGTTCAAAAAAGATCTAGATATATCCATGGAGGTTAGCTCTATTAATGGCTATTAGCCAGGATGGACAGGAATGGGATCCCTAGCCTCTGGGAATGGGCGATCGGAGAGGGGTCACGTGATGATTCCCTGTTGTGGTCTCCTGGCCTACAATAGAAGGGGATGGATCTGGAACTAGGGAGAGAAGGGCTGTTTTGACAGAGAAGGGGATGGGGCAGGTAGGGTGATTTTTACTCAGTCACGTGTCATGTAAACAGCCCCAGCAGGGCAGGTACAGCCCTGACACTGGGCCATGAAGCATAGACGGGGGGGAACAGGCCGACCAAGCTGTGCATGTTTCTCATGGGCTAGGACCAGCCTCGGGAAAGGTTCGGAGCAGGAACCGGCTGGGGAGCACCGCCAATGACACCCCCAGCGTTCGGGAAAGGCTTTTGGCAACTGGAGGAAGTTTGATTGCTGCCGTGACGAGCGCAATCAATCAAAGCCTCCAAAGGAGTAAAGCGAGAGAGGAGAACACAGGGAGGTACTCGTTCTGTCCTGGGCGGAGGCACATCCCGTCTGACCACAGCCTACCAGCAAAGAACTTCCACTGGTTTTTATTGAAGGCCAAATGTTTTATAAGCTTCTATCTCCTTCATGCATATGCATGAGCAGCTCCCTTTGCTTCCTCCCCCTCCTAATGTCAGGGTGTTTTTATCCCATTGGTTAATCTGTTAATTAGACGAAAGCCATAAATACATATGTCGGCCATAAACATACATATTGGATTCATCCGGTGTGTGTGTCGGCTGATTTTCTCCAAAGATACCCTGAACTGGGACACACGCCTTTCAACACCTGTGATTATTACAGAAGAGCAAACAAGTGTCTGATGCACTCTTGTGAATTAGTTCTACTCCCTTGCTACCTTATTAAGCAACATCTCTCACGCTGGCTTTCTGCTAACTGCTTACATGGGTCTTACAGGTGTCTACACCCCCAGGTTTCTGGCTCTTTTGCTGACTCTTTGTGACTCCTGGCACGCAGTACTTGAGCTAGGGCTGTGTCTAGACTGCAGGGTTTTTTCAAAAAAAGTAGCCTTTTTTCGAAAAAACTTCACCTGCGTCTAGACTACAGCTACGTTCTTTTGAAATTAAATCTAAAGAAAGCGGCTTTTCTTTCGACGGCGGTACTCCTCATTTCACGAGGAAGAACGCCTTTTTTCGAAAGTGCTATTTTGAAAAAAGGCGTTCTTGAATGCAAACTGTGCTTTTTCGAAAGAGAGCATCCAGACTGCCTGGGTGCCCTCTTTCGAAAAAGCGGCTTGCTTTTTTGAAAGTACTGCTTGCAGTCTAGATGCTCTTTTTCGAAAGAGGCTTTTTCAAAAGGACATCTGCACTTGAAAGGGAATCCTCTGAACTGTCATTCATGTTAAAATTCGACACTCTCCGGGAAGGAATGAACAAATACGCAAACTATCTTACCCATTACCAAGATAGCTTCCCCAATTATCACCTCTAATACCATTAACTCACAAACATCCCACTCTCCCCACCTCTAATATCATCAATTCACAGACACTTACCTTCCTTCCTTCCCCCCGCCCCCTGCATCTGCCTCCTGTTCTGAAATGTGATTTGTCCTTTTCATATGTGTTCATTTCTTTTAATTGTATCCTTTGGTATATATGGTTGTGACTATTTTCTTCCACTATTTGATCTGAGGAAGTGGGTCTGGCCCATGAAAGCTCATCACCTAATAAACCATCTTGTGAGTCTTTAAAGTGCTACATTGTCCTGCATTTTGCTTTCGAATAAAGGCGTTCTTGAATGCAAACAGGGCTTTTTCGAAACAGAGCATCCAGACTGCCTGGGTGCACTTTTTCGAAAGAAGAGGTTGCAGTCGAGACGCTCTCTTTCGAAAGAGGCTTGTAGTCTAGACGTACCCAAAGATACACAAGTAGAAAGACAGAAAGCCCTAGCACTGTTGAGCTTCTACCAAATGCCTGTTGCTGTTCACATGGCCGCCGATTGGCACCCTCTGTGTCTCCAACCAGTTTTTCAAGGGATCGCTCCGGGGGGATAAATCAGACTGAGAAGCAGAGACCCGGTTCTTAATCCAGAGCAAACACGGGTGAGTTAAACACCCGGTTTGCGTGTTCGACTCTTGTTAATGTCACGTCAAAGGGAGAAATCAAGATCCAGTCTGGGCTACCGCGTCCTGAGCACACGCCGCCCTATTTATTAATCATGTGAGCACTGCTCACAGGAACTAAGAGGTAGCTATTAATTAACCCAGGGCAATTGCCTGAGCAAGACGGGGTGGAGGCTCATGGGTATTTTTTGCCTGACACACATAGGACAGTGTTTCTCAACCTTTTTTAATAAAGTACCCCCTTTTTAAAAAGTTATAAGTACCCCCAGTACCTACAGTTTTCAGACACACACAATTTTTTTCTACCATTGCAACACATTTGTTTAAACAACTTAATCGTAGCTGGGCGGGTGATGAAATTTTGGGGTGTAAAAAGCACAAAAATAATAAAGCGCTGTCAAACTTAAAACAAAAATTCAGTTTTCTCCAAATTTCAGTTGTGTTGACGTACCCCTAAGGGTACTCAGACCACTGGCTGAGAAACACTGGCATAGGAGACTGTTTGCCGGGGACCCCTTTGACCACAATAATGATTACACGACCCCAGGAGGCAGGAGGCTAAAACCTGCTCCCCGTTGCCCCGAGTGGGGGGAGGGGCAAAGCCCAAGGAAGGGGCGGGGCTAAAGCTGAAATGCAACAACCTCAGCCTCAGTCCATTAAAACAGGGTCACCACCCACCTGGAGGTCTGAACCTGCAGCTTGAGAACTGCTGGTCTATACCCTCGGCACAGGACGGGAGCGAGCGGTTAGGGACGCATGTTCCAACCGCTGCACAGACCCAAATCCAGTGGGAACAGGCCTGAAAAAACATTTTGTATCTAAAGTCTCTTCCACCTCGAGCTCTCAGGAGACGAGTTGGCCTCTTTGGTTCTGGGAGGCGCTTCCCATGAACATGGGGGCCTTTAGAAAGGGGTCTAAGTGGGATGTGTGATATGAGCGATTGCCGGAGCTATAAACACGAGCCATGGCTTTGGACAAAAGACCCCTTCTCTATAGCTGGAGTTGACACGGAGGGGTCGGCTCTCCGGTGGGCTGTGTAGGAACAGCTCAATTTCTAACCCAGTTACAGCAGCTTTCCAGTGGCCACAAGCACATGTGTTTATCATACTCGCTCCCCAAACGCAAAGGAAGCTGAAGCGTTAGGGCTATAGATAAAGAGGGCTGCAGAACAGCAGGGTGGTCATGAGAGAAACGTGTACGATGGCTATTCAGTCGCGATCTAGTTG